TTCTAATAGCTTCTTGTTACTACTAGTAAGGCACTTGTTACTACTAGGGTGGCAGTTGTTTCTAATAGCTTCTTGTTACTACTAGTGACTTCTCAGTGATTTTTGTTTTTGGCTAGGACGTTCCAGGTAAAGCGCTTTGTTTGCAAGCCTTTGGCTGGGCATTCTGGTTGCTAGGGCAAACTTTGGGGCAGGCGTGGCAGATTCACATGTTGCACACTTTGGACGCACAGTTTACATGACAAGAACGAGTGTGATATTCTCGCTTCGCTCGAAGAAGTTATCACAGAGCACGGACAGCCCAAGCGGAAAACCCATTGAGAACTGTAAAAAAACAAGCATTGAGGAGCAAAGGGCATCGCTACTAGGAGCAAGGACGCTACTGCGGGCTCCTGGCCTTACTACTAGGAACAAGAAGGTAGTAGGGGCTCCTGGCATCGCTACTAGGAGGGGCTCCTGGCATCGCTACTAGGAGCAAGGACGCGACTAGGAATCACTGGTTCACCATGAATCATTTGCCCGATTTACTCGGCATCCTGGAACGGGGGCGTTTAGAACCCCAGTGCTACCTGGGTTTCGCGACGGTTTCAAAAGGTCTTGCAATGCACCTAGCGATGGCCGAATGCGGCCTCCACCACTCCTTTCCTAGGAGAAAGCTAATAGCAGCTACTAGTAGTAAGGCCAGGGGCTACTACTAGCTCTTGCTCCTAGTAGCGATGCCCTTTGCTACTAGTATCTTTTTGTGCCTAGTAGTAAGGCCAGGAGCTACTAATAGCTTCTTGTTCCGTAGAAATGCCCTTTGCCCCTAGTAGCGAGGCCAGCCCCGTCTAGTAGCGTCCGATCGCTCCTTGCGCCGGAAGGGTGCGGTAGAGAGACCTGTTGACCTGTCCACTCCAAAGAAAAGCGCCTCAGGGCCCACGCGGTGAAGCGAGTGTCGGAAGCCAGTTTCGCAAACCTGGTCGGTTCGGTTTCACGCAGGAAACTTCCAAAAACGCATCAGCTCTTTGGCATTCTTTGGCTGATTAAACACCAACCAATCTGAAATCCTAACATCTTCCGAATGTTCAAGAGAATGCGACTGACCCCCCCCACTCGAAACATCAAAGATCCCGAAACGATAGCCCGAACAACAAGTTGATTTGATAGAGTTCGGGAGAAACCACCAACCAAAATGTGAGTGGCTGAAACCCATTTGTAAGTCATAGATCTTCGATTAGCAGCCGTGGCAAGCCGGTTGCCTCCACATGGAGGCGCAAAGCCATGTTGAATCAGGGCCAAATATGACGCCGTTTTTGCCACTCAGGGAAGGAAGCTACTAGTAACAAGTGCCACGCTAGTAGTAACAAGTGCCACGCTAGTAGTAACAAGTGCCACGCTAGTAGAAACAAGTGCCACGCTAGTAGTAACAAGTGCCACGCTAGTAGTAACAA